AATAATTTTCTAAAAAAAAATATATCGATTTCTTTTTTCTATACTATTTAAATATATCAAATAATTATTTAAATTTTATAACAGAATCTATATATATATATATTAAATCAAAAATAAGACAGAATATTTCCAATAAAAGAATTTTTATTAAGAAATATGTTGAATATCTTAGTCTTAAATTTCTTATATTAATTAAGATTATCTTTTTGTTGTATATTTATATCGATTTTTGCATAAAATTAAGAAGAAATCAAATATTGAATATATATATATATAGATAGATTTTCGCTATTTTATATAAATATATCGGAAATATTATTATCGAATAGAATCAAATCGATAGGTGAAATATAAGATATAGAAATAAATGATATAATAAATAAATAGAAATATTCAATGGATAAATTAGAATATTCAGAATTTATTATATTTCTGTTTCCATTGTCCATATCTGTGGAATTTTTCTGACGACGTGGAATATTCCGTGAGATTGATCAAATTCTCCGCAATGTCTCGGTAACCCAAGAGTTTCAATGTTCTAGAGTTTGAATTGGTTCGTGCCATCGGAGGCACTTGGTTCTACGATTTTACGCAGTTACGCAGTTTTAAGAAGCATCTCAATCTCCAGTTTTTACACGATATAAAGATTTAATCAGGTCTCTAACTAACCCGCCTCAACAGGTTGTCAAGCAAGATTGTCATCATGCTCTCTCCACCTGGTGCTCACAAGAGGACAAGTGAGAGATGCTCTGAGTACTCAAGAATGCACATTGACACGGCTCCGAGCATACCTTGGAGATACTCAGTGCCCAGCGCCTGTGGCTTCGGCGTAACCTTTCCTTCCCACCACCAGTTTGAAGCTGACCTGAAAGCTGCTGCCACATCGCTCGTCATCCGCAGTCATGGTGGGTAGTCGCAGTTTGTCGGAAGCCGTGTGGGAGCAAATGACCCTCCTACCCTCACATACTGAGCTGATCTCACTATCCTCATCGGTTAACTCCTACACATACACGAATGACACCCATCAGTCCGCACCCATCTTCCGCTTCACTGCTGCGAGTAACGGAGAAAACAAATTCAGAAGCACATTCCCAGGCATCGTTGCCTGGGTATGCAAGCGAGGGATGAGGTTTTGGCGAGGTTCGCCAGTCCCGAATCACCCGGTGATCCGACAACTCTGAGATCTGCACTTTGTCTCCTTCACGATCACAGCTGGGCGGTAATCTGGCCAAGCAGAGCATGATCTACCAGAGCCGGAACATACAGCATCACCTTTCTGGGTGCAACCAAGTGCAAGGACCTGTTCAGATCCACGAAGACATCTCTGCCGAACTCCTTGTTGCTACAACACTTGCCAGCAACTCAGCGAAGCAACAGACACAATGAGACACGACTTCAGCTGCGAACCAGCATTCAATTCAACACATATGAAGCCAAGATTGGCAGCTTCAGTTGAGCCAAGCATCTGCCCGAGTTTCAGGACACCTTGGCAGTTGCATTGTTGACAGGTCCGAATGCCATGAAGCTGCAAGGGATGCCCGCGTCTGCACCCTGGCCTCAGATAAACTTGAGCTCTGCACGAGATGAAACCAAAGCCGGATCCTTTGTTCACCATTCTCATCGTCCCGTAGAACCTGTCTGTCATTGCGCGAATGTTCAGACTGCCAATTTATCGCACAACGAGCGCAACGAGCCTCTTGTCGGCAAAATCATCTGGAAGCTTCTTGTACTTCTTGTCACCTTGCTGAGTGTCTGAGATGGCCACCACCAGCCTTGCTGCACTTGCCTTCTGCCAAGGGGCGCGAGCGAGGGGATCGAGAACGACGGCCCCCTGAGCTGCTGCGCTTCCTGCAGAGCTTTTCTCAGCACCAGATAGGAGGAAACCAGAATACATTAGCCCGGCATAGCCCTGCCCATCCGTGCACCTCCGATTGGAAGGCGAGCGACCTCGCCGCTTCGGGGGAGTTCGAGAGCGCCTAAGCAAGGCGTTGCCACACGCTTTAAGGTATGGTGTTGAAGCTCCCCAAGCATGCCCAGAGTTCACTGCCAACTGACACCTCTTTGTTTACATGGCGCCTGCTCCGCGAGTCCTGCCGCCGTGGCCGGCGGGAGTCGGATCTGGTCAGCTCTTTGGCAATTGGCAAGAACCGCTGGCAGAAAGACTTGATCCCACATAGGCGGTCGTCTCCGCCTCGAGCGTGAGCGAGACGCACGGCGGCTGGGCGCCTGGGCTGGTCATGGAACACTTCTCGGCTTTCATGAACCACCCAGAAAGTAAATCGACTGGGCCAAAGAGTCAACGAGCAGAGCGGGAATTCGGCAGCTACAGCTAGCTGGAATCGTGCTCCGGAACATGCGTTCAGGAAACATTGCTTTATACTCATGGCCATGTCATGTCTTTCTGCACCGTGCCTTTCGGCCGCGGCTTTCGCTCCTGCCCACGATCTTGCAAGAAGGAGCATCTCTTCTGGTTAAGATTTCGATGTCTTAAGTCGCGGCATAAAAGAAAATGCTCCTACCTGAGCGAGCCGCACAAGCTCAAGGTGCAATATGAGTGGCCTCCGCCTGGAATTGCTTCTGCTGCCCATCAAACCACAAAGCTCAGGAGCTCAGGCCAGCTGGAACAATTTTGATGACTGGTACAGGTTGCGTCAGGTTGCGACTGGGGTAGGAGGTCTCCTTCACTCTGCACAAGCTCCAGACGCAACAGAGCTCTTCAAGTCTTTCGAGTTGATGCACTATCCTCTTTGATGCGGACTTTGCTTCATGAGTCTTTGCCTGTAGACTGCCATGCAACGACAGTCCAAGCCTGGCTTTCTTGCAGCCCTCCTAGTGGTCCTCGTGCTAACGGCCTCTGCTACTGCCTGCATTGCATGCCTATCACAAACAGCGAAAGGCTGCCCTGGGCGCTTGGGCACTGCGGCTTCAGTTCACAAGTGCAGCGTACCACTGAGTGAAGCAAGGCTGTCAAGACTGCATCTGGATAGGCACCTAACCTGCCAATCGATGAGACGACACACCAACCAGCTGCCTTCTCTGAGGTGAGCGCTCTGCTTGGCTGCTCAGGAGTCGGAGTCACAGATTTGCTCAGGGGCCCGTTGGAGCACTCACTTGTCCACGACCTGGCAGAGCAAAAAACAAGGCGTGGGCCGCACGGGCAATGACATTGGGCTTCATCCACGAAGAGGCTGGCAGGAACCGAGCACAAAACCATGACAACACTGGAATGAAGTCAAAACGCAGGACATAAATTAAACCCAATCTGGAGCTCAGCAAGATACTGTGGCATCTATGACATACAATACATATTGTATTAGGTCCAGCCTGGAGCGACACAAACTGCTTGTGATGGACGAGCTCGGCCTTCATCACTTCCAAGGAACCCAGATTCAAGCAGTTCATACGCTTCGGAAATAGGAACTGGTGCCGTGTCCCTGGACTTCCCATGGTGTACAAGCTGTCAGCACCTGATGCTGTTTCATACTCGTAGCTGTCTGAGGCGAGAACTGTGACTCTCTTGCGCGCCAACTCCTGTGTGGAGCTGTGCACCGACCCCGTATGAGAAGGCATGCTCAATGTTTGAATTCGCCGCTGATCCCCTGCTTCAGTAAGAGCAAAGCAGTTCGACAAGGGCAGAGCCAGGCTGTCTCCGCACCCCGTTGTGATGTTCTGAACGTACTAGGACTTACTAAAGCTATTAACAAGCGTTTCAAACTACCGGACCTCTGCTCCAGAGTCCAGGCATCGCAGCAGCTGTGTGACTCCCAGTTGGTTGGCCACCTGAAGCTGCAAAGGCTTTTGCCACATTGCGCATCAACCTGTCTGCGCACAACCGTAGTGCCAAAATCCTCAGGCACGCACGACCACACGACGCAACGACTGCGCCAGTCCGGCACACTCGGCACTCTCCTTGCAAAGGAGAGACATGCAAAATGCAAAGTCTCAAAGTCTGTTTTCAGAGAACACTTCGCCTCCTTTAGAGCTGGCTGGACCCTGTCCAGGAGCTGCGTGGCCTCTCAAAGCCAGGGCGGCATAGCAAGGAACAAAAAACAAGGAGTGATGGCTCGGTGCCCCAGCCTCCAAGAATGAGTTTTGCGAGGCTTGGAGCACAGAGCGCCTTTCCGCGCAGTCCTGAAAGGGCGGCGAAGCCACACTCGACGCCGGCATCTTTGAAGTGTCCTGGGCAAGGACGGCCGACTGCTTGAAGTCCTCAAAGGACGGCCTCAGCTCGAACAGCCATTCGCGTAAACAACAGGCTGTCACCGGGCTTCAGAAATCTTGCGGCGATTCAACCGTCCGCGGTCCAGCTTCAGGTTTAGAACAAGCATGCACCCGAGCGAATCAGATATCGCAAGCCCCTCGCAGATGTGGCAGGCGGAATTGCTCAAGGCTTCTGAACCTGCATCTGCACCAAGGGAAGGCAGTCAACAAGACGATGCTCTGCAGGCTGTACAAAGAAATGAAAGCTGGCAGTATCAGGCCTCAAAACGAAGCGCTGGCACAAGCCAGCTTCCACTGCAGGAGGGCTGGACAGAAGCCCGTGGCCTCACACTGGAGCCCTTTCAAAACTCGCCCAGGTATGACCCAGTCCGGGGATCTTGCAGCAGAAAGCCAAAGCTCTGAATAGCCCACGCACCTCGGAGACTCTGAGGATCTCTCAGGTGTCTTGTGGAAAAAAGACGGCTGTTCAAGGTCCCAGCCAGACTTTGCGTCGCTTCGAGCAGCAGCAAGCTCGTGGGCGGATTCCTTCAGGGCAAGCAGCTTCTCTCGCGGGCACGCTTATCGGTACCAGTTCACGAGCATGTGGTCACCACATCTGATCATGTCGACATGAAAGAGAAGGAACTGAACCAAGGAAGCCTCGGCTTCAGCTTCCCCAGAGCATCCTTGCAAAAGCTAGGCTTGAAGCATAGTCCGAGTCAAGCTTAGCTGGGAATTGCTCTCTCTTCGGCCGCCAGTATGTCAGTATGTTCTTCCACATCCAACTTTGCTGCTTCATCCGCGACCAAAAGTGTGATCCAGCAAGCCCCACACTCACATGTCCCAATCCAGGAGAGAACTGCCAAACAGCTCGGCTTCGCAAAGCTCGTTCAATATCACTTTCCCGACACCCCACGGACACGCTTTCCTTGGGCCGCGGATGGGACTTCTTCTTGCCACCTTAGCGCACGCAACTTGGACATGGGACAACTGCATTCGCCTGCGACGTTGCAAATGCCCCAACGATGGAATGAAACGCCTAGCAGATCACTTGGATGACCAAGCTGGCCCCTGCATGGATGCCTCGCCTCCTGCAGTGGCTTCCTTTGAATGGAAGACTTCCTCAGCAGCGCTCTCCAGGATGGACACACATCTGAAATGCGTGCACGTGTTCTACCACAGCACTGATACTGCTCGTTGTGCGACAGCAACTGATGCAGCAGCGGAACATTGAGGTTGTAGATGCGCAGGCCAAGCAAATAATCCACATACCTCGGACGCTCGTCCCCAGCCCGGAGTAAGTGTCGCAATGCGCATCCTCTTGCTAAACGCTCAGAGGCTAATGCCAGTAGATCATATGAAACTCCGCCTGGCAGCAGGTGCTGATAACATTGCGCATTTGACAACACTCGACGGAGTGCACTGATTCCATAGGTCGGTCACTGCCAAATCACTCAGTCAGACTCCTTTCCTCATCGTACAGCTCCAGTTGGAAACCCAGCAGCAGCTTGGAAACCATCGCCTCATGCCGATCAAACAAGGGGTAGCACCAGACATGAGAAAAACCCCAAAAATACAAACCGTACCCTTGGAAGCATGATGTGGCTAGTTCTCTACATTAGGGTCTCTTTTAGGCCCCGAATATAGTACGGCACTCTTACAAAAGGACCATAAAAGGGACCCTAATTTAGAAAACTGCCATGTGCCAAGCAGGTCTAGCACACAAGCAATGCGCGCCAGGTCACTTGCAAGGTGAACTCCTGAAGGGACACACAAAGCATGTGAAAGCAGTGCGAACATGAAGCTCGGACGATTCAAACCGGGTAAAATGGATTTGGCTCCTGGATCCAAGCCCAGGACGGCCGGTTGTACCTGAACCATGGCCCATGGCTGCTCTCCAGACTTGCACGCAAAATTTGTCCCACAGGTCACCGAAGGTTCGCGGCAAAGGTGGCTTTCAAGGCCTCGTCCAAGCGCCAGGCCTCCGAATCAGGTCATTCGAAGCCCAAGCGCATCCATGCGGAGTGGAGGTTCGGAGATCATGGATTCCAAGTGCCACAATCTCAACCTCGTTGCTGCTGAGATTATGGCTAAGACCATCAGAAAGCACAAATGTCGGAACTGCAGCGAGTACTGCCATCTGCCGAGTGCCTCATGCTGAAGTTCGTTGAAGTCTGGAAACACCTAGCAGTGTGCAAGTTGGTGAAACTAGAATGCACCTTCGACAGAAGCTGGACGAGGGAAGTGCGCTTGTTTCTGGATTGCCAGCAGGGTTCGTTTTAATGCGGGTCGCACTCTGCAGAAGCACTGCAGGATCTACCGTGTCGGGCAATCCAGGGTTCGGAACTGCAAAGCTCCGCGGACTCGTCGTGTTCTTGGGGGATGTGAATACCGTTCAGCACCCTCGAGTTTGTCCCCTGCTAACATCACAGGGATGAAAAGGGCCCCTGCGGAAGGGACCCCTGTGGGTTGCACTTTGCCGAATGGGCAGGTTGCGGCGCAATGGAGACCAATGGGCCCAGTTTGCCCGCATCAAAAGTGCAGCCACAGGGTCCCCTCCACAGGGGCCCCTTATCAACCCTGTGACAACACGTCACGGAAGCATGTAAAGCCAGCCACATGCACACAAGCCAGCTGAGATCGGCACATGTGCCAACCGTCTGAAGCGTCGGGTGGTGTTCAAGTGAGCGAGCTTCATGAGATGCAGGAACATGGACCTGGCAGACACCTAAAGTTGATTCAACCATGTGTCATTCGCCTCGCCTTGGGGCAATTGCATGCAATGGCAAAGGGTAATTTCAGCCTGCCCTACAATGCAATGGTCCGCTTTTCGAAGCAAACAGCAGGTCGTTCGTCGATCGCGAGTTCGGGCGAGGCTTTGTCACCCCGCACCTCTCGTGCACAAACAGCAAGTCGGTTGGTCGACGAACTGGAACCGTTACGGGAAACCTTTAACAACACATCGTCCTTCCGGAAAGTAGCAGCAGCACTGACTTTGTCAGGTGCAGAGGACGCGCAGGTGACACAACTTGCTGAGATATCTGAGATATATGCTACGCCGTCTCTCAGTACCAATACGAATCGTAGCAGTCGTAGCTCCAGAAATTATTGAAGCCGTTGCGACGCTTACTGCCCTTGCCATTGCCTTTTGGCTGCTTGCCTGATTTACCCTTGCCCTTCCCCTTGCCCTTGTTGGGCTTGGGAAGTAAAGTGGGCAGTTCGGGCATCTGGCTGGCTGGAGCGAGCTCCTCTGACAAGTCTGCCCAGGAAGGTTGCGCAGGAGTCGATGTGGATAGTGGGATTGGAGTTGGGGGGCATGCCCGCCTGGGAGTCGCAACAGTGCGCTGGATTGGGGATGGCTGTGCATATGAAGCCGGGGGCGGCTGCGGGAAAGGCTGGTGGATCTGAAGTGGCAGCAGGGCCGGGCAAATGGGTGCTTGATGTGTGAATCCTGTGGGTGTAAGGTAAAACGGCGTGGGGTTGACAGGATATGTGGACTGGTGCTATGGCCACTGGCAGGGTTGAGCCCAAGTATTGTGGTAATTCTGCTGCAGCTGTGCTAGCTGGCATGGAGCGAAAACGTGGACAAACTGCAGCCACCACTCTGGTGGCGGTGCGAGGCCACCCTGGTAGCCGGGGCCATACGTGGCTTGCTCGCCCATAAAGGCAGGCGCCAACCGAACTGTCTGCACGCTAGCCATGACTGAGCTTGTGGCTTGAGCTCTACCGTTCGACGCTGAGCCAAACAAAGCAAAAGACAGCCCTGTCTCTGCAAAGCGGGATCATGCTTGGTGCAATATCGTCCGCTTCGAGCTCAGGTGCTGAGTCACCCGATCGCTATTTCACAACAGAAACCTGCAAGGTGCACTCGCAACGATTGATGAACGGATCTGCCAGGCGCTTGCAGTGCTGCAGAGCCTGGGCAAAGCGAGGTTGATTGCAGAGCTTACGAAAAGTGAGCTTGGGCATTGAGGCAAGCACTGCCTAGACCCGAAAAAACCCAAGAAACGTTCGGCGCTACCTAGAAGTGCTGGCACTACCTTTGGCTTCCGAGCAAACGGAGAACTTGAATGCCCCTTCCGGCGCTTGTTGAGGCCTCGAAGCTGATCCCGAGTTTTTGCGTCGCTGTTTTGCGAAGGATCGGATGTCACCAACTAGACATCGAGGCAGGCACCTCTGGCGGAAACAGGTGCGTCTCCAGGGACTCCAGAAGCAACCTGCTGCCATTGCGCGCAACACTGGAAACCCTCTGCTTGAGAAAGGGTGCTGGTGCCTCCGAACGAAGCCGGGAGCCGCGACGGTCAGCTGGGCTATAGAGCGGACAAGCACGTTCGGCGATTCGTCCTCAGAGGCATGGTGATGGAAGCAAAACTGCGCTTCTTTTAACAAGCAAACTTCCGCAAAGCAAGTGGTGAATACCTTGTGCACGACCACACCCTGCAGCAGCTGATTCAACGACCTGGCGACAGCTTCGATGAATGGTCTTGGCATCGATGGTATCATCCCGACCCGAGTACTGATTCCAGCCGTCGTCCGAGTCGTTACCTTGTTGCTGCTTCGAGTCAATATTATCCCCCCCCCCCCACAATGGAGTTCACGAAGTTGCGAAGGACGCAAAGCACAAAGACTGAGCATCATCAGATCTCGTATGCCACAAATGTCTCAGACATTCTCAGACGGCATCCTCGGCAGACAGAGAGAGGGGGAGTTCGAAAGAAACGACAAACGCACAGACCGACGGACAGACAGACAGACAGACGGACAAATCGACGGACAGACGGACGGACGGACGGACGGACAGCCAGCCAGGCAGGCAGACATACAGCCAGGCAGTTGGACGGACAGGCAGGCAGCCAGCCAGACAGACGGGATATGTATCCAGGTATCTCATGGGTATCTGTGTTTCCCCACGCACGGATAATCATCAGGACATGTATGTATGTATGTATATATATATATATGAGCGTCTGTCAAAACTTATTGTTTCAGGCCTGGTCATGAGTTTGTAGGTGGGGTATCGCTTTGCTCTGGTCAGATTCATAAGCGTAGTAGTAGTAGTACGAGTAGTAAAGCAAAAGTAGCAAGTGTTAAATTGGCCACAGTAAAGGTAGTGATCTCACTGATATGATATACTAGTGAGATCAACAGTAAAAATGATGACCCTACTCTACCAGATGGGGCAGTGGCTCATACAACGATCTGGTGGGCTGAAATGTCACAACAGATGATCTTCGTTGATCGTATCATTTCGGGGGTTCTGGCCAAGACATTCCACGACCACCCTACTCTGAACTGCAAGTACGGAACTTTTGACGGATGCTCATATGTTGTGCACGGTTGCCAAGCTGGATGCTAGTGGTGCGAAATCAATAGTTTCACGTAAAGGGCTAGCATGTTCAAAACCTGTGCCAAACTTCCGGTTCACCACTAACACGAAAATCAACAGCGTGACTGCCAATTCGCCACATCATGATGATCATCACGACCACGACCGTGATTCATCACAACCACAAACCACGATGCGTCAATTTATCAAGCAAATCAACACGGGCAGTTCCGGCGGCCTGTCTAAGAGTGACGTACATGCAGTCAGCTCTTGCACCTCGACCGCACAAAGGCAGGGCACTGCCAGTGTGTGGCCTACTGCTGATCCTAAGGTCCGAAACGCTGGCACCCGTGCATAAGCAAACGGACTCAAACGATGCACAGTCTTTGAAACTAGCACGGCCTCCCCAACATTGTTCCCAGTAGGGCCCCGGCGTGGCAAGTCCACATCTTGAAAGCAACTTTGGGATCCTGCTCTGGAGTCGCGACCGGCTGAAAGAAAGGAAATGAATCAGAGTGGCCTTTGAACCCAGCATTGGCAGCAGGCTTGAAAAACTGCACCGGAGATCGCCCACGCACCGAGATGCTCTGGAGATGCCACTCCAGCGACGCATCGCAACGCCAGAGTACCCCAATGCATCCGTTTCCTCATGCTTCCTAAGGGACTGTTGGCCTTCCTCGGCCAAAATCATGCACGCGGAGAGGGTCAGCCGAATCACAACTCGGTTTTCTCGGCAAACATGATCCGAATACGCTGTGATGCCGGCCCCAGTTCCAGCAAAGTCCACGTCTTGTTGGAATGAGAAGTTGACATGCCTGGAAACACTTTCCTCCAGGAACACAGGCGGAACCTGCAGCCGAGTGAACGATACTTCGTTCATCATAGCAAACTGGCCAGCTTCTACAAGGCAGAGGCTCCTGTTACCCATGGTCTTCGCACGGATCACCACACAAGTTGTTTGGCGCGGCTCTGAATTCTCCCTTTATGCATCCCTGAATATCCCTGCATCCACACATATCCACACATGCTCACGAATCCCCCAAACACAAAACCACACTATGCACGCGTCCTTGATGGGCTCCACGGTACGCGGCGGACCAGGTACAAGCAACTTCCTGGCCGAGCAGGTGAGAATCGGCAGTCGGTGACCTTTTGTGTAAACCCGCAGAAGTCTGCCCTCGAGCACCTGTTCGTGGATGCGTCGAACCTCTGGAGAACCTCATCACTCGGGGGCTCCGCATTGGCCTCCATCCTGACACAGGTGTGTTCATGTACCTTGCGTTCAAGCTCGCTTGCAACCAGCAAGCTCGCAATCCATCCACGCCGCCCATGCGAGCTTGATCACTGTTACCTAGTTCATCCTGATTTCCTGAAATCATGGGCAACACTGCCTCTGCAATAGTTGCAAAGACTTGTCCAGGTGAGCCTTTGCCACTCGACACTGCCAGTCTAATAGGTCCGTGCGGCCCGCTTGAACTTGTGACGTGCATTGCTCCTCACTTGGCCGCAAGCCGTCGCGGCTTCACCTTTGTTCGGGCCAGTCAGGCTGACCTCAGCTACTACGGGCTCCGGAGCTCGAAACTAGCTCAGAAAGTGGCACATGATAGCACAGCGGAGCCCATGAGACGAGCACCTCAACAAACACGCACAGCACTGTGGCCGGAGTAAGATTCATCAAGTACGGGAGTGCCGCGAGCAGGGGTTTGCAAAGAACGTGAGGTTTGTTCCAGATGTGCACAGCACCACACGGGAAGACAAGCTACACAGGTTGCAAAATCTGAAGCTGCCAAGACCCAGGCCACCGCCAACATGTATTGCTCCATGAACTCTAAACGGCAGGCCTTTGTGCACGTGCCAACACACGGCATGCGGCATGACCCCATCAATGTCCAAGCTGTAGAAGTGCTGTGGTTCGGCATGACCGCTCACATGCTGAGGCTCTATCTCTGATGGCCTTGTCGCACTTGGGCCGATACCACCAGGTCGCCTTTTCCAGCGCGTAGCCTCCAAGGACAAGCGGATGCAAGTCCAAGACGAAAGGAAGTGCTTGGGCAACTCAGCGGTCCCGACAATCCACGTGTCGCATCAAGATACCATGTGGATGAAAGCAACAAGTTGCCCATTTCGTGGCTCGAGGAAGCGAACCTGTCGCACTCTTTGCGCAGACGGTTGGAGACCTGAAGCCAAAAGCGAAAGGTCGTATGAACTCCTCTTGGCCAAGTTTTCAAAGACGAGCCTTCTGTGGGTCACTGCTGAAGACGCAGGCCTCCAAGCAGCGGAGGGCTGCTAAACTTCCATCTTCAGGAACACCGGAAACGTTTTTGCGAGTGCCAAAAACTCCTAACAGCTCTTGCCGAACCGCACTAGGGCATCAACTGCTTCGGGATTGGGGGCTGTTGCGGGGCGGAAGAACGAGTCAGCTACGTTTGGCTCGCGGCCAACAAACCGGTTGCTGCGAGTCAGGAAGCATCCTCTAAGAGGCCACAACAAGAAAACGGACCCCAGATCAGGTCTGAGTTTTAGAAACCATAATCGAAGGCACCCGAATGTGCCCATCCATGCGGAACCTTGAAGCTAAGCACGGCTCTCCTCAAAGCGCGCAGTAAGTTAGGAAACAGATTCCTTGAAGACTGGCGGCTCCAAGCGGCCTGCAGGTCAACTCCAAACATCGTGGGGACGAAGTCCTGTCCGATCAAAGCTTCCGTGTTAACGACAGTCCGACTCTGACTTGCAGTGAGCCTGGGTGATATCCCGACAGGCAGAACCAGCGAGTGGAGACTTAATGAAAAGTAAATGGGGGAATTTAGTTGTGATGCAACGTTCTACGCGTTGTCCTTCCCCTTCTCGCGCTTTGCCCACTCTTAAGTCTTCCGCCCATTCCGTAGTCGACTGGAAGAATTTGTTCTAAGGCCATGGATGCCACCTTCAACGCTCCTTAGCTTGGCGCCGTGGCGGGGTTTGGCGCACGTCTCCTTGTGGTTGACCTGTCGCGAAGACCTCAAACTCTGCTGCATCCTCTCCCCATCACCCTCCGCCACCGCAGAAGGCGGCACCCCAAATCATATTAAGTTTCCATCCCTTGCAAGCGTTTCTGCGTTTCCAGTGGCGACGTCCGATCATTGTTGCTGCATCTGCTCGCATGGTCGTTCCACCCGGTCCTCAAGAATTTCGCTGCTCATGCAGGAAACTCTTCTCAGAGCCATCATCACGAGCCCTGTGCCGAGCCACCACTCATTGTAATCAACTAGTTGACCAGCTTCTCTGGCATCCCAGAGAGCCCACTACCCCTTAATCTGGAAGAAGATAGCTTAAATACTACAAGAGGCCTACTATTCCGATAGGGCTCTCTCTGGGATTCGGAGCATGGGCCAGTGGAACCGCAGCTTTCAGGTCGAGTCTTCCACCAGCATCACAGCTCTTTCGTGCTTCACAAAACGGAGACCTACTGTTGGTGGCATAAATCCTGCATTACCTTCAGGACCCTACACTGTGGGAATTATGGTATATTCCATATTATGGGGAATGCAGGATTTATATCACCAACCGTAGAACAACGTGCTTGGCAACCGTACTTGCACCCACAGCCTAAGCCGCAACTCTACACTGTTGCACCCTGCTAGATCATGCTTCACCCTCTTTCCCGATCACCGGAACCCGAGAAGCCAATTCGTGCGAAGGGCTTGGCGTGCTTGAGTTTAAGAAACGGGATGGTAGGTGGTGCCAACCTCTTTACCCACAGAAGCCAAGCCGAAGTGTGCATAGGCGCATCTTTGCTACAGCTGGGTCCTCGTCGTCAAAAACCCCGGCGGCCGTAACCGCATTCTGCGCATGCTGGCACACTATCAGGAGTGCCTCAGGCCAGGCGAGGGCTGATTTCAGAGGCTCTGCTTCAAAGCGCCGCCGGGCTTCCCACATCCACGAAGGATGCAAGTTCTGGTAAGGGGGCCAGGAGCCGCTTTGGGTCCTGAGGAAAACCGGTGCTTCGGGGATCAAAGGAGCTAGACACCATCCCTCAAAGCATGACCTGCTGAAGAATCTGAAAGCATGGCTACAACACATTCTGCCATCATCCAGGGTATGAACTTGGCAAAGCTCATCACATCTGCAGAATGATTTGACCGGGCCGTCCTGCAAGTAAAGGCATGAGAAGCATGTCTGAATAATGGTGTGCCCATCCAGCCAGAGCAAGTAGTACCTCTGCGAGGCCCCGTGTGTTCATAGAGCATGGCTGGAAGTGATTAGAAACAGAGGCGGGAAAAGCCTTCCAAGCCATCCTTCCCTCTCATTTGTGAGAGCCAGCAGGCAAACGGCGCACATCAGCAAGTGGTCAATGACGCCAGCCAGCACCTGCACGTGAAGCAACTGGCCGAAAGCAGCGTGAACCGTCACTAGCCTCGCTAAACGATAATCCAACGAACTCCATCACTTGCGTTCACAGCAGTGCGTCTCTCGCATGTGGATGATACGATATCGAACAGGCGCCTTCTCTTCCAATACCTTGCCAACGAGGCCGGATGTGAGTGCTTTCTCCAAGCTCATGTCCTCAACGACGGCTGGAGGAATTACAGGACCGAGTAGGACCCTGATGACTGCTTAGATTCCATCCCTTCCGTGGTGCCATCGGTCCTCGTTGCTTCGGAAGCCGGTATCCATCTTCGGATCCATAATCTCCTGGCAGGAGACTGCCCACAGTTCACACACGGTGTCCAAAGAGAGGGGTTCGACCATCTTTAGCTTGCATCTGCAAGCTCGCTCCGAAGGTCGCCCATCGCGACTCGGTAAAACAAGGTGGAGTGCTAAGCTGGTAAGACATTGGCAAGACTATCCTGAACCATGCTGGGTTCAGAGTGGGACTGGAAACCAGAAGTGGTGTGGGTGTTCGGACAGTGCTTCGCGCTTGTGAATGTGACAAGTGAAATTCTGAAGATCCGCTTGACAGAGTGCAGTGAATGACAGTCGAAACTCTCACATGCTTGGTACAGTTCCCGTTTCAATGCTGGCTCCGACTGATTCTCAACAAGCCGGAAAGGCGATGGCAGACATAGCGTCGTAGAGGCGGAAGGTGGAGCTCTCCTTGGTGCGACAGGGCAGACGATACGTCCGGAGCAGTTGGCGCATGGGTACAAGTTCAGCAGCATGTTCATAAGCTCAGCTTCCTGGAAAACATGACTCGAAGGTGGCACCAGGTCACCAGGTTTGTGAAGAAATCTCAAAAACCGAAACTTAGGTGCCTTCCTGCCAGAAAGCGGATAAACTTGTCTTCCCTGGCAAAACTCGTGACCCAAGCTTTGGTTTGCAGTCAGACGCTTTGCTCATACAGACAGCCGATTGGCTGAAGCTGTCGAAGGTTCGATTCAGATGCAAACAGGTCACCACCATCTCGCCAACATTCATTCCGTTGACCTGCAAGCCACACGGTAGTCGACAGACGCAAGAGAGACAGCTGAGATGTCCAGAGGAAGGGCGTGGCACGCACGCTCGAGGCCCCCACTGCCAGGTCGCACAGCGTCGTGATGTCGACCCACTCCTCCAAGGATCAATGCAGCAGGCAGCGCATGAGACATGAAACTCGACGAGGCCATGAAGCTTCGGGGTCCGGGACGTGACGAAAAGAGGGAGCAACTCTAGAAATAGGTGCTGCCAAGTTTGGGCATCCCTGCAACAAAAGGACGGTCTACTCGTCGTCTCTTTCAAGAGCTGCTGTTTGACGGACAGTCCTCGTCCTTCCCCGGAGGGCTATCACCCACTGGAACGGCCTCCCACAAGCATTTGCCCAATTCACATGGACACATTGACGACTTGCCTGCCTCTGGGGCTGGCCAGTACAATCCGTTCCTGGGATCTGCACAGATGTCCTCGAACACTTCGTCGCCGTCCTGCTTCAGCGGAAATTCTGCAGATACGTAATCTAGGGTATCTATTTTGGAGATGTTGGATGTCAAGGTGCACGATGGGGATACGGCTTCAGAAAGTATGCTTATATACTTCTTAAACCGTGCTGAAGCAAACGCAGGAATGATTGGCAATGGCAATATTGCTCATGAAAGCTGGCAGCCATGCCGCGCCAATCACACAGGCTAGGGCCGAAATGATGTTACTGTGTCCGTTGTGCATGCATTTCCGTCGCACAATTGTAGCGACAAGGGTTTCGCAACTTAGCCACATCCCTGAATAATGGCTTCAGGTGGGTGGAATCATGGGCTTCCTTGACATCTCGGGATTGGCGGTGATGCTCAGATCCGCCATTCTCTCCCTCCAGCCTTTCCCCAGCTCCATTGCTGAGGCCCTTAAAGTCTCGCAGTCAGGGGCATGGTCATCAGGCCAGACCCCTTCAACAAGTGTATGGGCACGTGCTCCATGCAGGTCCTAAAGCCACACCCCTGCCACCTGGAAACCCCGTAACTTTGAAGCCTCGGGTTGCTTTTACGGCTCGCGGTTCACTTCCCACCGATGCACCATGCTAGCGCTAATCTCTCTGCTACCGTTCTCCAGGAGCCACAGGTCCTGAGGCTTGCTTTTCTTCTTCTTCTTCTTTCGGGGCTTCCTGCAACGGGACATCCCTCGAGCACACTCATTCGGATCCACGCACCTGGCATAGGTCTAAGGGTCTAATGCGCACGGCTCAGCACGAGACAAAGTGTTTCGCTACGAGAGATTGTCCAGGCCCAGACGGATGCAAAGCTGAGAATCCCGACTTCTTCTGCTTTGCATCGCCTCGGAGTTCATGAGTCATCACTGAGAACACGCAGGAACAGGCTGCACTAGTCATTAGGCCTGTGAGCCCACCACCAGCACACAAGCCAGCGAGTGTTCTCCGTCGAACCCCGCAATCAATATGCTGTGGCATGCAGAGGTCGTGCTGCCGTTGGAAGTACAGCCTTGGTCGTGCACCGGCACCGTCTTCAGGCGCCAAGTTCTCCTCACCAGTAGAAGAATGACAAGCTATGGGAGACATGTTTGATTCCCCTCTGTGGTCAATTTTTTGCCCATGCCTGCCTGGTTCTTGTTTGCCAGCTTCAGACACAGATCGAGCAAAGCCCAAGCAAATCTCCACAGGTACAATGCCAGCCTCCTCATCATCGTCCTCTTCCTCATCTTTGGGCATGGCATCTTTTTGCCTCAAGTCGAAACAGCAAGGAGCTACACCATCCCCTGCAACCCATGCTGAAGCTTAGCTTGCAGCTGCTTTGCGGACTGGGTCTGGCTCATGAAGCATGTACTACCCAGCACAAAGCGCCACCCCTGTGCCTAGCATCCTTGCAGTCCCTGCTGTGCTGTGACACGCAGACTTCCGAGAACGGACGATGTAAGCAAGTAGTTTGACTTGCGAAGAGGGTCTAAGGATCTCCGCAAGCACGTGTCCACAGCATGTCCCTGTCGTGCTTGACACAGCTCATGCTGCGGGAATGTCGACGCCTGAGGCCTTTGGAGATGTCAGGACTCTACGAGTGCACTTCATGTCGGAAGCATCTTCACGATCGTTCAGAACACCGCATGGAAGATGTCATGCTATCTGCAGCACCAAGGTCAGACAACCTCAGGGAGCTTCGCTGCGATCCTATCCTGCGACATAGTATGCATCTTGTTCAAGTGAGTAGCAAAGAGATGGACATTGTCGAGACAGTGCATTTCATCGTTTCTTGTTTTTCGCAACGGCATGTGGTCGGCTGTCGGAATTTACAAATCTAGGCTGGCTCCACCAGGCATGCCGATGCGTGCGATGGGGTCAGGCATCCATTTGCAAGCTGCAAAAGCAACGAATATCAACGCTTTTGCGTGAATCGCTTTGGTGACGAAATCAGAGCAGTTGCACATCAAAGCTGCATATCTCAGACTCTAACCAGGGGTGATGTAAGCCTACACCTACTTCAGTGCTGCAGCCCTCAAGATGTAAGCAACCACTGAGGAGAGAGAAAACGCACACCTCCAAAGGCCGAGAGGCCAAGAGCGATCGCCATCACAGGCTACCAAGGTCACCCAAATAGCCGCCACTTGACTGGGAAGGCGGTCCCAGAGGGCCTTTCTCACACCTCGGCTGCTGCGCAGCTCAAGAAGCGCACACGCAACATCCCACGCTGAAGGGGTATGACACTCAAGACACCAACAAAAATTTAGCCAGAGCTGGAAAGCAGAGCTTCCTGCTACTGTGTCCTACTAACCCCCTGTCTCACTCCCGCTGTGAGTCATTGGGACGGTGCACAGCCACAGACCGGCATTGCGCGTTGCCGAGAGCCAGGCTTCGACAAGTCCAGGGTGATCTGCTCCGGAAGAGGGACAGTTTCGATCTGGCAGGCCACAGGACCCAAGCAACTTCATGGCGCTTCGCGTCGAGAGTCACCGTTGTGCGACGGTGCTTTCTTGACGTTTTCTTGCAATGCACACGCCGTCATCCCGCAGTTTAGATTCACGTGGCGTTGTCGGTGCAATTCGGTCACCCTATGTGCTTTGCACAAGAAAAAGCAGTTGGAAGCCCCGGGCGAGCTAAGCGAGGTACTAGCTTGAACATTTTGTGCAGTTTCAGAAAGCACACTATGAGACTCTGATAGAACTGCAGTCCTGGACAGCAATTCGGACCAGCTGACACTTCTGCTGGGCCTGCTTCGAGAAATCGGTTGGTGGAGGAGGCTCATCCAGGCCTGGGGCAAACAATGTCGAAAGGCTCACTGCCGTGTCTGGCGGTCTCCCCAGTGTGCAAGGGTGTTGCATATTCCAGCATACTCCCCTGCACGGGCTTGTCTGCCGCGCAACAGCCCCGAAACCCATCCGCCAACACCGTACCATCACGAGATGCGAAACTGCACTGCCCCAGGTGCACGGACGCTGGGAATGCCACATACAGCCACTGCACGAGGCTGGGCTGAGGGGGTGAGCCTGCTGGGCCCTGCTGGGCTGTCTGAGGTGGTGGGCGAGGAGGGTCAGGCCCACGACCGATTTTTGAATCTCCGGCCTATGCAAGTGGCAGCAAGGATACGGGAGCCCTTGGTGCCGCTACATGACACCACATTAGCCCTTCGTAACGCGCTCTGCTCAGACGAGGGCCAGCCAGGTCCAACAAGTCATTGCCTCCCGGACGGCACCAGCCGGGAGCTCATTCACTTCACTGTCACTTCATATCACTTCATTCATTGCCTCCTTTGGGAGCCCCTGCCGAAGCCGCAAGGTCCTTAGCGGGAGTGGCGCCAGGCAGCATGCATGAGTGCTTCTGGCATGCACACGGATCGGAACGCACCATGACCAAACCCACTAAATTTCCAGGGACAAGTCCAAGTCAAGCAGATCGGAGGCACCCCCGGACGACGCTCCTCGCCCAGTGGCCTGCAGGTAGTATCAGCAAGCACCGGTGTTTAGTCGAAGCACTTTGCCTGTGTACTCATCAGTTGTTGTTGGCTCACCCCTTTTATACCCTTTTCTTCTTCAGGCTTGGAGCAGAGCTGATAGTTGCTTGCTGCGCTTTGCCGTTTCACCCTGATGCAGTCGCTGCCATTGCGCACTCCCTGTATTTCGCCAGTCCGGGTTCGTTGCAGAACTGCCAATCGCAGACTGAGCACTGCAAACAAGGCAGCTTGCCGCCCAAGAAAACATGACCGATAGAATAGGCACATGGCACATGACATGAGAGAGGCCTTGCGCTCTTCAGCATTGTTGAAGTCTAAAAGATCCTGAGCAGCCAGCCGGACAACTGACAGAGTTACGACTGCCATCAGTTGGAGGCACGTTCACTGCTCCATCTTTGATTGAGGTGCTGCCCTTTCTGAATTTGGTGCATTGATGGTTTGTAAGCTTGCGGCTACAGCTTGCGGCTCAGGCTTCGGTGGCCTGCCATGGCATGCGAGAGGGCAGAGCATCCTCAATGGCAATGCCCGTAAAACCAAGACAAACGTCTAAATGCAACCATGCCAGCATCACTCTTTCTTCGGCGGAGTCGATGGCTTGGACTCTTCTTGTCTGTCCGTCCTGCTGGATGAGTGTCGTCTTGTCCCTGCGTTGACTAACTATAAACGGAACGCAGTGTAGCGGTCTCTGTCTGTCTTGCAACCACCTTCATACTCATCTCGCAAACAGCCTTGTCCTACGACCTGGTATCGAGAGTCTCACAAGGCCTCAAGGCTTACACATCGACTGAGGACTCCTCAAACAGAAGAAAACTATGCACATGCAGGCCTCTATCTAGAATAGAATACAATGCTCATACTAGTAGCTACGGATGATGTGGAATTGCAGAGTCTGGACTGTCCTGCGGCCCTCTTCCTTGGCCTTTCTCTCCTCCTGCGGCAGTGGTCGTTCGGCTTTCTGGCACTCTCTGCTGCTGTCAAGCTGCGACACGGCGATGCAGGCGCTTTCATGCACTTTGTGCTGTGCAAAATGGGGATGAGATCTGAACTAGTAACTATAGTGGCATCACTGCTCAACGAGATGTGCGAACCGGTTTGGCCGGCAATGAGAAGCAAAGAAGACTCCTCTTCCTTTTGTCGCTTGGCCTGGCGGCAAATGATCTTCTGCGCAGGCTGGAAGCGCACTGAATGCTGGGAATGTCGAAGTGTAATCCGCACATCGGACATGCATAGCAGGTCACCACCCTCTCCGGTCTGTTCAGGCCCATTCAGCCTGCTGAGCTTTCCGTCTTTCTTTCAACCTCGGGAACTTGCTGCCAGCTGCGACATGCTTGAAGTAACATCTTTGCTCTTGTGCTGAAACCCTCTTGAGAGGCATATCATTAGTTTAGCCTATTTGCATTCCGGCACACTGAGACCGTCACCTCTGGACTCGCCGCACTGTCGTTGGCATCCGAACTTGCTCGTCTGGCTCCTCCTTTGCGGAAACCCTACTACACTGTCACGCTTCATGCATTGCTGTGCTGATTGGCTGATAAAACTTGATGTCGTCTCTTACACCAGGACGACCGCTCATGCATGGGCAAAACAAAACCGGCCACAGACTCTCAGTGACCTCTCTCATGGCACAACAGTGTGTTGATCCAGCGCAAAGATGTTGGGAGACTGGTGGAGTGAGACGGGCACAGGGGCCCAAGGGGCTCATGGAGAGCGCTGCCCAGGTCTCATTGGCTTCGATTCATTTTCCACAGCAGAGCCCCCAGCCTGGGCCGCTGCGACCTTTTGGCTGGCGTTAGATGGACAGCAAAGTGGCCAAGCTTCAGGGATCTCATCTTTCCCATCCGGGAGAGGCTTTATATCCAGCTGGTGCAACTCTTTCAAATCGTCAGTCGAGTCCAAGACGTGGATCTGACCGACACGAACAGGAAGGAAAATGTTCCCAGATATTCGGAGCCACTGGCGGTCTGCGTCCAACTGTCCGAAAACGATGCTCCCATTCTCTGCATACCGGGAATAACGTTCGTCGAGGTCTTTCGACCTCCTGTACTGAACTCCAGGATAGGGCTTCGGCACGCTGACCTTGAATTCTGACACGAGCAGATTGACGTGAAGGTTGGCAATCTTCTGTTTCAAACCTGGTTTGACCTCCCCCAACTTCAATTGATTCTGCAGCATCTGCCATGAGTCTTCTTCCAGAAAGAAGGCTTCCAAGTTCCGCGACACCTCTTCATCCATCTCCACAATGGATGTCTCCTGAACAGTCGGCATTTCCGAGGAAGCGGATGATGCGTGTCCAGATCGTCGACGCGGCCGAGAGCCCGGTGTTGCATGAGATTCGACCACAACCTTCTTCCTTTTCTGGGACCCTATCGAATCCACGGCAATATTTTGGGAGCTGGATTCCACACTTTGCTTCAACGCCTCACTGGCGGCAGCGGCAGCAGCAGCTGCACGGGGCAGCGCAGGAAAATCCTGGGCTACGTTTGCAGGCGCAGGCCCAAGCTCCTTGGGCTCCTTGGGCTCCTTGGGCTCCTTGGGCTCCTGAGGCTCCTGAGGCTCCTGAGGCTCCTCACGGTCCTTGCTCTGAGGGGCGGCGAGTGCTCCCTGCTCCTCCGCGACAGCGGCGCCGGCAGTCGGCTCGCTGCCGACTAGGCAGGGCGTCTCCTCCTGCGTCTCATGCCTTCGTGGAGAGCACTTAAGATCGCTTTTCCCGTCGGGCTCCACAGCAGATGGGACCGTGGCGTCGTCTTCCGGAAGAATGGGAGCTTGAGGTAAGCTTGGTCTCACAGGGAGAAAAGAGCTGATTTCAGCTAGGCATGGACAGCATCGACCGAAACATCCGAACTTGGACTCCATGTTCTGTCATGGGCTTTGCAACTGCACGTGCAGCTGCTTCGACGACTGGATCGACAGAAGTATGCTACTCGTCAGTACTTGAGGATGCCAATCGTCAAGCAGCCGTCGGAGTCTATGTGAAGGTTCGATCATATGCGATCCTGCTGAGCAAAACGGCTGCAGGGCAGGAGAGCCCTGACGAATGGAGTTGGACACAGAGCTTACACTGCATTATACTGATTGTCAGCGCAAAGCTTGTGAATGCCGACGACTCGCACAACCGCTGCAATACTGATGGGCAGCCTCAGCATGTTCCCCGCCGCCAATGAGGAAGTCTAGAGCGGCCTGAACAATGAGCTAATTAGCTTGCATCCATGACGGTCGGCATGGGCTGCTCACTGTCTGCAATCCTTTATCTGGTCAGCTTGACGCAGCTGCATGAACGTGCTTTGCAAGTGGAAATGTGGAGTTCTGCCTGAGTGTCGTTCTTGAACTTCCGCAAAGCCTGCCTGGCAGGACCTGCAGGATGCTGCAGGAGCAATATTTCCGAGACGAGTGGATTGACTGCAAGCCCTCCAAACATGCAGACCGCAGACCATGGGTGGTAAGCAGAGGCCACAATGCCTTCTTCGAATCCTTGTGATAGGAGCGATGAAAGACTCAGCGGGTCAACTGGCACCGAGGGTCCGTCCTCGGTCGAAGCAACGGCCCGAAGGTCTGTGGAGGCGCTTCTAGACTCTCTTGGGCCTCCGGAGCCTGTCCACTTGGGATCCCGGCATCTGCACACGAGTCCAAACCTTCGGCAGGCTTGTTCTTGTTATCCTGTCGCGTGCCCGAGGAACATGTGACGCGACTGGCTGCAGAGAATTGCAATCGGAAATCCTTGGCCAACTTCTCTATCAGGCGCGCAGAGAAGTCTGTCACGACATCCTCCTGTGCATAGGACTGTCACTGTGAAGGCTATTCGTGCCAAAACCTGCTGCGGCCCACCTCGGGATTTTCTTCGGCCTCTTGAATGGCCATCTCTACCTGCTCAGGCCAGTTCACCCTCCCTCTTTGGGTCCTGGACTCCGAATCTTCCACTTGTCGAGTGCCAAAACGAGCAATTCACGGCCTGCGCTTCCAGATGCTCTGGAGTCATCTCGACCTAAGGCACTTCGGAGATCTCAACGGCACTCCCTGAGAGCATGTTCGGAACCAACTTGGAGTCTAGGATGCCACGCCATCGGTCGAAACTCCATTCGCGCAGGAAGAACACCTGCACGTCTACTGCTGCAGGAACCGTGAAAGGGATATGGCCTGGACCGTCAAAGCAGTTCTGGGAATCTATTGCAGCCCCTGCCACATCTCTAGCCTTGCCTGAGATGGAGTGAGCTGATGTAGCGAAGAACTCGTACTGCAAGTACCTCATGGCAGCTTGCTTCCTTGGAAGTGCACCCGAACGCGAGATCGCAATCCCGCTCTTCTTGCCGCAATCTCTCACAGGTTTTCTGGTGCTTGCTTGGATTACGGTGGAGTTGTCGTGGGGCAGATGCAATTTTTCCGTGTTGTCCCGCTCGTTGGACCTGTGCCTCATGTGCCAAAGCCGGGGGTCAAGGCAGGAGATGGAAGAGTGTGGTGAGGTGCTGTGCTTTGGAAAAACGAATTGAGTTGATTGTCGCTGCACGGCTTCCGACACCGAGTTGACCAAAGCAACTACAGAGCATCAAGCGCTCGGCTGCTCGAAGGAGGGATGCTTCCTGTTGGATGAGCTGATAAGCTGCCAGCCACAGGTGACTGCTTGAAACACCGCAGTTGAATGCGCACTTCAAGGTCTGGAGGCAGGAGTCCAGAATGTCTCCCTGCGGTCGTTGGATGATCTACTGTCGCGGCGGTGCTCTCATCAAGGCAATGTGCCTTGTACTCCTCCATGATGTAAAGCCACTCGAAAATGTGCCTGTCCACCTGCACATCCATGAGGGTAGTTTGACGACACGAGTGCTGTTGCCGTGTGACGATCCTGAGCATGATCTGGATGGCACCTCGTGGAAGGCCAACTTGGTCGATTCAAGCTGCGACCTGGAATCAAAGCAAATTTGCTGGACATAGGAATCCCTCGCTGCCTGTGTGGGCTGGGAACCCGACTGCGCCGCGAGGTATCGACGGTCGGTTTGGTGCAAGTTCCTTGCACAAGAGCATACAAGCTGGCACGACACCCTGCCATGCAAATGCCGCGACCTCATCTACCTTTCTGACCGATTCCTGGGTAGAGCTGGGGCTGCGGCTTCTTGACACAGTCATCCATCCTTCGCAAGGCAGCTCCGAACAAACTACGAACAAAAAACGCAAGCCTCGATCGGAACAAGAAAATACGTCACATAGTATTTTGTGGACAAGAAGCTCGCGCTTTGCGATGTTGTACTCCAGCAGCCGGCGCCTGGCCAACTGAAAAATGGCAGGTGCCTTCTGTCGAGAAGAGCGAGATGACAGAAGGACTCCCGTCTACTTTTAGATATCGAATTTCTTGGTGACGTGCAAAGACGCGCTTCGTGCTTATTGCAGGGTCGGGGGCAGGCAGGCCACACGGCTTGAACTTCACGCATATCATGAGCATCAAGAAACATCGCGAACTGCCCACTTCGAGAACGGATCATGAACTGGTGCTATTGTGCCCTTGATGGCTGAGCCTGGATTTGTCAACCGTAGTAAACTGCACAGTAATCAGTTGTCTCTCGGACGCGGAATGTACAACCTAAGGACCTAACTACCTCAGCATTACACTCACATCCTTCATGCCTTCATGTTAAATGTTGTCATTGCAACACACGCGTCGTTCGGATGCACCCAGTTTAAGCTCCCAGGGGTGGTATAGCTTGGAGTGCTCGAGACGCATATAACGAGGCGTGAACCTCGCACGACCCTGCAACAAACAGGAAGAAACCCTGGCCTCAACCATGCACGCACGGGTGCTCTTGATCGTGCTCACACTATTGATATGCGACTCGCTTGAAAAGCTTACGGTAAGAAGAAGCATGCAAGCATGGTGAACCCTGTACCGTCAGCGTTCTGCACACAGCCTTCGCTTGTCCAAGTAGGTCTTCATGTTGCGGTTGTTGACGACCTTACACTTCTTGTCAGGGTCAGGTCTGCGACATGCCGAAGCTCAAAAGCTCAGCATGACCTTCGAACTCCTCTTTTCCAGGCCCCGTGCATGACACCGCAAGGGGTTCATTATGTTGAAGTCCTGCGATGGAGACGGTGCCAAGAGTGGATCTCTAGCTCGGCACTACGAGGGCTGAAAATAAAATGTGTGCTACCGGTCTTGATATGGACTATTCAAAGGCTTGAATGGGTGTCACAGTCCCAAGTCTGCAGATCTACAAGCCAGAAGAACACCGCAGTGTCGTCCATGTCTCTTCGAAGCTTCGCCAAAGCGCTGTGAGGAGCATCTGCACGTGTGATGGCATTTGTGGCCTGCACATCTCTCATGCTTTTGGCAACATGTGTATGTGCCGTCGTCTTCGATGGACGTCGAAGTTTCAATCACGAAGCTTCAACTGCATGGCACACATGCTACTCCAGTCTTGGATGCCTCTTTCATCTTGCAGCAGTCAGCTTTGATGAGCGAATCGTCCACGGAAGCCAGGCCTGCATTCAGGGTGCCAAATTTCAACTGTTCAGTTCTTTAAATTCGGCTTTCGTGAGAAGGCCTGGTGCTACTACGAAACATACCTACAGTACATTTTGCTGCAGATGTGCCGGTTTTTGTGATAGCACCTGCCAGTCCTAACTTTCTGAAGCTCAAGCAGGCACGGCCTGTGGTAACACTCTCCGCGAGGACCACAAGGCCCTCTGCCAGACTGTCTATGCCTCCAGGTAGGACACATCAGAAGCAGAAAATGCCGCTTCACACAAACTGAAAGACGGTCTTCATCATGTCTCCATCAACATCACCTAGAACCTGAGAGGTCAGATGAGTTGTCTGGGCTCAGCTGACTCCGCACGAAAAATGGTTTGCCAAAGGCTGGGCGAGCTGTACCGGACCATTGATGCACGGCAGTCTCTCGGCCCCAGCACTGCCAGCCCGCTTTTGCGCAAGTTTGTTTGGTTTAGCCTCTGCTCTTCAACTGTTCAGCGCTGGCTGTGGCAGGCAGTCATATCCCAGGGCACCTCGTGGTTCACTACATTGACTCCAGTGCACCCCGCTCGCAAAATCCGGTGAGGTTCGTGGCAACTACGAGGATTTTGCTGCAACCACTGCAACGATAAACGGTCAAGCCACGCTCTGTCGCGGCAAGCCTGCATGAGCATAGCCTCGTAGCTTAACGTTAGCTCTTCAGGTCAGCTGATGTACTCCCACAGCTCTCCGCCTCTCATGAAGGTTTCGACCTTCTTGAAGATGTCCTTGCACCGTGAGGTCTTGTGAATTAAACACCGGTTTCAAGGGAAACATCGATAGCTTCCTGCGGCAAGAACGTGCAAGAACCTGTCTGCAACACTCTACTTCTGCTTGAAGTGCTGCCCCCGAAATGACAAGAATTCCCGTTGAGACTTGCAGATGCCCGATTGACGACCGCTGCTGTTGCCTGGAGGGTCAAGTCGAAGGAGACGAAGTCCTGTTGTGACGAGAAAACACGAAGGCCGCGAAAGTTCTGCATGTAGATATCTTGTGATTGTCTACCTATGCACTGATGATTACCCGGAACGCAGTCTTATGGAAGACTTGCCCGGATCTCCTTCACGATTCCTTCAAAGACGGGGTCCACGGGCTCCCCTGCGAAGAACCGCTCCTGCATGCATTGCTTGCAACACTCTGCCAACTATGTTTTTCTCACCCGCTTGCCCTGAGACAACCTGCTGCTTCATCCTGCTGAACAGAAGCAGGACAAACAGGAAGCGAAAGGGTTGTGTGTCCTTGAGCACCTTCCACTCCATGTTCATCGCTGTTAGCTGGTCCTGGAGTGTACAACATGTCGCAGAAACTTGTGCAAGAATTTTCGGCATAATGCCATGTGTCTCCATTGTCTCCTACAAGAGCGAAGGGACAAAAATTGAATCCCAGAACAGATCGACACAGACTAAGATACAGATTTAGATATAGATGTAGATATAGATGTACATATAGTTGGATGGAAAATACTTCGCGTAAATACATTCATTGTCAGTCAGTGAGTCAGTCAGCCAGCCAGCCAGCCGGTCCGTCGGTCCGTCGGTCAGTAGTCAGTCAGTCAGTCAGGCAGTTAGTCAGTCATTGATTCAGCGTGAACATGTAGATCTACATATAGTATAGATGTGTACATTATGTATGTACACAAGTACATAAACCAAAAGCACAGACATGCAACAAAAGTGTGCTCGTATGATGCATGCACACACCTGTGTGTTCATGCACACATCCCTACATCAAGCATAAACAACAAATACCTGTATCGTGAACAGTTTTGTGGTCATGTAAGAGTCAGGTAGTCTCATACACGGGTTCAAAAACCAATATTATTGCAGAACCTCTCACCACCTGTCCCCGTCCATGGCTGCCACACTTGTCTTGGGCACCTGCCACACCGAGTGCCGAACTTTGCCAGCTTCACAAGATGCTAAGTGAATTCCGCTAGCATGTGCCTGCCTGACCTGTCCCACTGGCCGAGTGGAAGGCCTCTCACACCTGGTATCTTGTCCACACGCGAAACTGCGCCTGTCGTGTCCAAGGCCGTGCGCGGCACCGCTCTGGAGGAAGCAATGCGACTTTCGGTGGACTGCTTGACAGACCAGTGTAGTGCGTGGAGCTCTGCTGCAAGTTCTCGGGCTTCTCAAGCAAGAAATCATGGGCAAGTCAAGTCGCTTGGCTGCTGCGAAGTGTGGCTGACTGCTTATCGGGTCGTGGGACTTGTTTCGTGTGACTGCGCTGCATCACAGCTATGAACCAGACACGGAAGCTCAGGTTAGAAGTGCATCGCAGACTTGCGGTCCGTCGCGGGCTCTAGTCGGCGTGGATGTGGCATTCTTGTGCAGACTCGTCCCGCTACGAGGAATGGAGGTCGGCAAACAGGCACAAAAGCCTTAAGTTTCAAGCGTTTCTGGTATCCAGACTCGAAGTTAAGCGTGGGATTCCACTGGTACTGAGGAGTGCGCTGCAAAGACACAGAAGCTATCATCCGCGCTGCTTAAAACTTGTGATTGAATCGTGTGCTGAATCCAACAGAAACTTTTCTGCATATCGATGTCAAACTCTATCAGGGAGTCCAAAGAGGAAAGAACAGGAAAGCTGAAAACACTGCATTTGCAATATGTTGCCTCTGCCAGGTCGACTACTTGTTGGATGTGTGTTAGAGACTGCCCAAGTGTGCACCGAACCTTGGCGGCCCCCCTTTGGCTTCGCTGGCCCTTTTTGTCCGCTCAGCACTAGGAACTAACTCGATGATGCAGCAAAGCGCTGCCCCCGAGCCTCAGAACACAAGGGTGGCTAATCTCGAGTCATGTCGCACATGGCACCTGTGGCAAGCGCCGCTACCACAATGCTCTCAGAGACCCGACAACAACCCGCGCGCGCCTTTGATGCGATATGAAACAGCTGCGAGGACATCCTGAACTTGCAAGAGGGAACGAGCGCAATCCAAAAGTATGAGTACTGAGTTCACAATCACCGAGGAAGTAATTACTGTCGTCCTAAAGACACATGGCACTGTTGCTCTCGTCCTTCTGGCCATGACCCTGAGAAGCCTGATTGTGCTCGGTTTAACGAAATGCCAATTGAACATCTGTCGAACATCTGTCGGACGGTGAGCAGGTACCCGACAAAGCGATGTTGCAAGCTTTCTGAAGCTTGGAATGTGCGATCGTGATGCCAGCAGCTCGTAGCAGCTCCGTTTCATGTCAATGTGCTCAAGCGGCAGAACACGATGCTGCAATGGTAGCAACAAAATCAGCATCCACGAGAAGCAAGAGTAGCTTGCCGAAACAAATCTTGCGGCTCGTGGATGTGTGATGACATGAGCGTCGTTCCTGCGTCCATACCTTCCGGACATGTATCATCTCTGCCAGGGAGACAGCCTCAGCAGCTCGAGCGCAGACAGCCAACTGCTCGCTGGGCTAAAACACATATTGCACTTAAAATGAAATGCGTCAGATGACTCCATGCACACTCCATGACAAAGCGGCTGCATGGCTTGGCATCAGAAGATCACTGCTGCTGCACAGAAACAACCGCCGCAGCGAAAACCGCAGATGTCTTGAAGCACTCAGCAGGCACCCCTTCTTCTCCAGCCTCTTCAGCCTGCAAATTGAGCCGAAGCACGTCCACCCAACAGGATGCTCCCACCTCGCAAGCTCTAACATTGCTTTATGCTATGAATGAGGGAGGCCTGCCTCTGTTGCAAATTTCAAACATCGAAAGGTGATACCGGGCTGGAGCATACTTGGTCGGGGACAGGAGAGGAAGGAGGGCAGAGGGGAGGAGACGGGCAGACAACTGGAGAGGGGGGGTGGCGGGGCACCTCTTGGGGTCGAATTTCGGAGATATCAAGCCTGGTAAGGCAGAGTGGATAGTCCCGTCGTGCAGAAGCACAGGAATGTCCCTCTGAAGGGGTTTCTGCACATGTAACATTTTATACTTCCGAGCCAAACCTGCACATGCAGCAGAGAGACAGAGGGGAGACCCATGGAGATACCAGGAGCCGCCCTCGTCAACTACTGTCGCCAAGTCCGCCTGATGGTGCAACCTCTGTCGTAGGCCATGCGCGCCGTCTCCACGGATGCCCTCACAGCATGAGTATAAAACCACAGTACTTGTAGCCACTGTAGCCACTGAAGTTTTTTCGAGCCCGGAACTGACCTGAGGTCGTGACCTTGCATGAGGCCAGCTCCCGCACTGCATGGCTTCCAAGAGCCGGGGGCGTGTCGGATCGCAAAAACTCCTCAGGGAGCCGTACTTAGCAGAGGTCACCAGCCAAATCTGCCCTTAATTGGTGACTTCCGTCGAAGGTACAGTCCGATTGGGTTTGTCGACGAGGCACCGCGCTGCTGCTGCATCAGACATGTTGTCACAACCGCACATGCACGAAACCGAGTCCTTGCAGTGCATGTTGCTCCCCTGCAACGACACAGCAATCCACTTGAATTGGCTTTGCTAAGTTCGGCACCCCTTCTTCCCTGCTGATCTCCATGCTGACGGTTTACTGCCTTTCCCCACAGTGCGTCTACACCTCGATCCCTTCACGAGCATCACGTCCGGTTTTCCAGGAATCAGTCACTGAATTGCTGCAAACCCGTGACACCGAAAATATCTTGGCAGTCGCAAAATCTGGCCCTCTCAGGGACTAGCGACTAGCATGGAGCATAGGATCAGCCTCTTTTTGTCTTACTGCCACTAGACGCGGCACTGACAAATCGGAAAGCAGGCCCCTCTTCCCCGATGAGCAGCCCCTCAACCCTCGACTGGATGACTCCGCACAAACACTAGTTCTTTGACATCGCATTCTGTCGTTTCGATGAAGAACAAGTTGGAGATCCCCTCTAGGCCAGGAACAAGCCACGACCCTCCAGGACCTCTAGATATCTCCAGGTTCCCAGGACATTAGAATGCCTGCAGCACGCGAAGAGCTGGAGACAGAATCCGACCTGTCATCAAAGTCGCGCCGGCAGCGACTGAAACAGAAATCACGCACACACCGCTAGACCAGCGCGGATCGCACCAAAGCCAGCGGGACGGCCAGGCAAGCAAGAGCTGTGAGTGAAACGATAACCTGACCCGGACATGCAGGGACTGCAGTGCATGCTATGTTTATTCGAAAGACCCTCGGCATAAGATGGCATAAGTATATGCACAAGGAAATCCCGCTCAAATACACACACACACACACACTCTCTCTCTCTCCCTCTCTCTGTCGCTGCAGCTTCGGAACCTCGAAGCGAATCAAGCCGCAAGCTCGTCAGCACTGCCTGTCTTCTGGGGTTAAGTGGCTTTGTGTGACTCGTGACTGACCCTAAACCAAACCAGCATGTTCCAAGCACAGTGTCCCGTGTGTATGTTGCCACTGATTGCGCCTGTTGCTTTGTCTCCATGGTCTGTGGCCACATCGTCGACAGACTCCTTCGGCATTCCGGTGCTGTGCCGACAAACGACCCAGAGGTCAAGTGAGCCCAAACTTGTTCTGAGACCTTCACTCAAGCATTCGCAGCCCGGTTTGGAGGCAATGCTGCAGAAGGGGTGCTTGTTGAGACCTGGGATTTGTCGCAGACGCCACTCACCGATTCCCTGCAGAGAGGCCTCTGCGCAGAGCTCAGCAGTCCCGTCCCCTCGCACGACAGGCGAACGGAGTTCAGGCTCCGGCTCTTTACAATTGTCCACCAAACTTAGCCTCGCAAAGCTTGCTGCTCTACTGTGCCACAGACAGAGGGAAGATTGAGGGCTCGGCCACGCCACCACGCAGTGCTGTGCATCACCTCATCTACTGCACGAGAGTGTGCGCGTGTGTTGCACATCACAAAAACAACCAACTACGAGCCAAGAACACGCTTTCTGGCCCACCTCGCCAAACGCGGTGAGCTGCATCAAAGACCTCGAGCGCCTTGCATATCGCATGCGCATCTGCTGCGCATCTGCCCAAGCCTCCTGCCAAAAATGTCCGGGAACTAGCAACCTGCCTGCTGCCACTTGCCTGCACAGTCGCAGGGGCAAAGTCACGCTGCATTATGCGGCAATCAGACGCCCAAAGCGGCAAGCCGACCTCCTTCGTAAAGAGCCGACGAGGGGATCGCGAAGCTCAGATGGCCTGATCTGCGTTCCCGCACGAGCAGCCCAGATCACGAGTCAGCACTCAAGTGCAGGCTCTGCATTCGGCACACGACACAGAAGCCAGCATGAGTTACGTAGAAACGAAACACGGCACGACTGAGACCGAGACTCCTCTTCACTTTGTTCTGCCTGGGATGGGAGCAAAAGCTTCGACAAACCAGGGTGCTGGCTGCTGCAGATGCCGCAGGGTTTAGGGTTTAGGGGTTTTAAGATTTAGGCTTTAGGTGTGTATGAACATATTAGTGAATGAATATACATATATATACACACACATACATGTTCTTTCGTTATATTTTTCGTTTATCTATTTGTATTCATGTTTTACCTATATCTCTATGTGTGTGTATATATATATATATATCTACATCCGCTTACACACATGTATCAAATTTATGTAAAGAGTTTGCAAACATGTGATGAGCAAAGAAGCTGTTCCACAGAGAAGCCGTTTGCACTGGTATTTACAGCACTTTCTGCACATGGAGGAAGTAGGTTCGAGACGTCTGGTTATGTGTGAGATAATGGAACAGAAACGGTGTGGATCTTGGGGGCATATAAATATATATATATATATGATACCTATATGTCTTCGGAAGGGTGACTGAGTAGCCATTGAATCGGATTCTGAGCACCACATCTTCGAAGTGTCATGTGTCCGGTCTCTGTGTAGACTCGTGTCAAGAGCTGCCACCAAGCATTTAGCAGTGATGCCACGCACAAACCTTGGAAAGGACTGCCTGATTCTCCGTCTGCTGACTGTTCAACGCTTGCATTTAGCAGCCTCAACGTTGCCCGAGTGTAGTGATGAAAGGTCGGTGGCACAGCAGCCTCTCACAGTGGAGTGGGTCGGGAATACTTCTCTGCGCACCACG